TGGCCAGATCTGGAAGCCAGATATTGTTTTATATAACAAGTAAGACTCTTGCATATTTATCTCCTTAATTCAGGAAGAAGGGGGGTGATGTTACCAGTTTTAAAAAAAATCAGCAGCAAGTTCCCTGAATACACTGAGAAGCCTGCTTTCCACCACACCTGTGTCCCACATCCCCCACTGCTGTCCTCACCTCCATGCCAGCTCCACCAGCATCCCTGGGCAGGAGCCAGCTCTAACCTGGAGCTGCAAGTGGGCAAGCCAAAGTGAACCTGGCTCTCCCCCTTCACTTTTACTGTTATTTGTATCACTGTCTACCAGGGGAGCTGGCAGGAATTCCCTTAGACTGCAGAGTTCTTGTCTGTGAGTCAGACTTTTAACTGAAAAAAAATGCAACTTCCAGCTTTTTAGCAGTTAAATTCACAATTTAAATTCACAACCTTTCTAATAACAGTGCTGACATATAAAAGCCACAGATAAAGTTTCCTTTAGATGTAAGTTGCTGAGACACTGAGGAGCCAAACCACAACTCAGTGGCTCCCTCTGCCACGTCGGGAAGCAGTTCTCAGGGAGATGGACTTACCTACCCAGATCCAAAACTTAGGTCTATGGATCAACAGCGATGACACTCCTTTTCTAATGGTGGTCTTAAAACTTCAGATTACTTTTTTAGTTTTACTTCTTCATAGAAACAACTGAAATTGTCACATGGATCGTATAAGATAGCAAAGAGGGACTCAAAAAAAACCCTCACCAAATACTCTCCTTAGGCAAAGATGCACCCCAACCCTAATCCCTCTTTCAACAGTTACTACCTGCACTGTCCACAGAAGAGGTGGGAATACCAGTAATACAGGTATCCTCTTATCAGCCCCTGGGTTCTGATGTGCTTGATTGATCTAGAATAGAACAGAATAAAATAGTTCAGTTGGAAGGGACCTACGAGACTTATCTAGCTGAACTGCCATTTGCAGTCTGCTATTTGCCATTTTGAATATTGATTGCACTGAGCCATATTATTAATAAGGGAATTAATAATATTCCCTTTCAACTCCTCCCTGGTAAATTTATACAGCTGTTTGTTCCAGTTTAACTGTGCAAATTTATGGTGGCCACTGGCTCAGTCCTGCACATGCAATTCAGCTCCAAGTCAACAAGTAATTGCTGACTTTCTCAAAGCAGATTAAAGAGTTAATGTATATGATCTGAATGTATGAAAATACCTGGAGTAGATAATTCTAATTTTTGTTATTTTTATTTGTTTTACAGTGCAGTTGGGGATTTCCAGGTTGATGACAAGACAAAGGCCCTACTAAAATACACGGGTGATGTGACCTGGATACCTCCAGCTATATTTAAAAGCTCATGTAAAATAGATGTAACCTACTTCCCATTTGATTATCAGAACTGCACCATGAAGTTTGGTTCCTGGTCTTATGATAAAGCCAAAATTGACTTAGTTTTAATTGGCTCCACAATGAACCTGAAAGATTACTGGGAGAGTGGAGAATGGGCTATTATTAAAGCTCCTGGGTATAAACATGACATCAAATACAACTGCTGTGAAGAGATATACCCAGACATCACATATTCTCTTTACATTAGGCGTTTACCTTTATTTTACACCATCAACATGATTATTCCCTGTCTGCTGATTTCTTTTCTGACTGTATTAGTTTTCTATTTGCCCTCAGACTGTGGTGAGAAGGTGACACTCTGCATATCAGTCCTTCTATCTTTAACAGTGTTCCTCCTTGTTATCACAGAAACCATACCTTCTACTTCCCTGGTAATTCCCCTTATAGGGGAATACCTCCTTTTCACCATGATATTTGTAACTCTATCAATTGTCATCACGGTGTTTGTGCTGAATGTGCACTACAGAACACCCAAGACACACACGATGCCCGTGTGGGTGAGAACCATTTTCTTGAACTTACTTCCCAGGATCATGTTCATGACAAGGCCTGCCAGTGATGAAGACAACAACCAGAAGCCAAAGCCACCGTTCACTTCTGAGTTTTCAAACCTTAATTGCTTCAGCAGTTCTGAAGCCAAATGCTGCAAAGATGGCTTTGTGTGTCAAGACATGGCATGCAGCTGCTGCCAGTACCAACGCACCAAGTTCTCGGATTTCAGTGGCAACCTCACCAGGAGTTCAAGCTCTGAGTCTGTAGATCCCCTGCTTTCGTTTTCAGTTCTGTCACCAGAAATGAGAGATGCTATTGAAAGTGTGAAATATATTGCAGAAAATATGAAAATGCAGAACGAAGCAAAAGAGGTAAGAACATACTTTAGTATTGCTCAAACTGCAGATGCCTTTTGTCATTGGAGTCTTTTGTAAGAAAAAAAATCTCAAATACACAAACAAGCAAAAAACCCCAAAACAACAGAGACTGTTATTTTATAAAAGTAAATTACCCAAGCTGTGTACAAGCATGTGCAATTTTGAATTGATATAACTGGGGAGCAGCTCTGCTGCACAACATTCTCTTTCCTGACAGTATAAATACTGGATGAGGCATGTTAAGGTCACCATTGCTGGGGGAACATAGGAGAGCATCCATCCCACCAGAGCTAAAGTTAGGATTTTCCAAGTCATAATCTTAATAGTGGAATTTGCTGACTCTGTGGCCTTTGGGAAGTTACATTCTCCCTCCCACAGCTTACCATCAACAACAAAACCACGAGTGAATGTCCTTCATAGAGATGATGTTGTTCATTCTGTTGCTGCTGCAGAATAAAGTTCTGTAGCTAAATGAGGCAACTGCTGCAAGACTGGGACCAGCATCTTTCATAAAGCTGCATCTTAATGCAATAAAAAAACAAAAATGGAAAGCTTTCTCTCTATCATGTTTCTCAAACATATTATGAGCAGTAGCCACCCCGCACAATTATCACAGAATTTAAACCCTCTGCAGTATAGCACTTAATCTCATTCTAACTTTACTTCATTTGTGCTGAAATCAGAGCTATATTTATATTTAGTTGGTACAAAAAATACAGGGTTGCATTGGGTTTTTAAGTCTGCCCTAACAAACAAGTTGTAAGCTAAAAAGCCTGAATTTCAAAACCAACTAACGCGTTATTCATTTATTAGTGCTCCTGAAGAAAAACAAAGTAAAAATTTAAATTGCAATCTCAACGGGAACTAAAATGATCACCTGGTTACTGTTAATATATAGCACATATAATATTTCAGTGTCACTCTTGTTATAACACTCATTGTAAAAAGAAAAAAAATTAGAAAAAAAATCTGGGGTTTTTTGAAACCTCCTCTACAGGAAAAGTACAGAGATGAATTTTACACCATGCAGGAGAACAATCAAACTTCAGTACTACATAAGAAAAGTACCAAATAACTATATATCAATTAGCTTTTGCTTTTTACATACTGCCTAAAGATGAGTAGGAGCAGTCTGTTTCAGTCAAGTTTTCTGGACAAACCTCTTCACCTGAGAAAGTAAAGCTTTACATTTTCATTTTTGGCACAGAGAAGAGAAGTTGTACCTCCTCAAGTCCAGTGTCTTGGTGAAAAACTTCCTGTATTTGAAGTAGCAGCTTTTGGCTTTGCCACAAAGAGCATATTCAAACAAAGCTTCTTCAAGATGAATTAGTCAGTTATTAATAATAATAATTATATATACAATAATTATATAATTATTATTATTAATAATATAATTATTATTATTATATTATTATTAAGTTGTGTAGCATGAAAGATACCTACACACAGAAAAATCTATATAAAATGGCACTAGTTGCTAATGCAAATTATTGACCTAATAAACATGCCAACTTGCTATTCTTTTTTTTTTTTTTTTTTTTTTCTTTTTCCAGATTCAGGATGATTGGAAATACGTTGCCATGGTCATCGACCGTATTTTTCTGTGGGTTTTCATCCTGGTATGTATTCTAGGAACAGCAGGGTTGTTTTTACAACCTCTGATGGCTGGAGATGAGATGTAAAGGTTAAATAATACGTTGTGAAATCAAATAAAACTGCCAACCAACTCTGTATCGCCACCCCAGCACCCCATGTCTCCTCCATGTGTAGCAGAATAAGGAACTCTCAGCTCTGCTTGATGAAGAAGGCTTTGTTAAAAGCGTGGGAAAAGAAATGATTTTGAACCTTTATGACAGCTAATCTCCATGGAACATGAGCTGTGCTTTTACAGCTACTTCTTGCCACAACAGGAAGTGATGGAGGTAGAACATTAAACTTCATAGGAATGGTTTAAGAAGGGGTGAATAAAGAAATGGAAAATTACATGAGTATTTGGAAAGTAAAGAAGGGTTGAATGCTTTGGGCTGTTTTCGTGAGTCTGGCACCAAGAGTCTTGAGACCATGACAGGACCTTCTGGAAGAAGTTCATCCTGAGTTCCATGAATGCCCTCACGTGGATGGGATGGCTGGGAAGGCACAAGTACCAAGGTGCTGGAATGCAGACATCACCCCCTGGAGTGTAAACTGCCCCACAGCGTGGGAGGAAAGGAGCGCGGGCAGGTTTGTTCCAGAAGGAAAGCAGATTTAAACAGCAGATGATGGTAACAGAGCAGCCATGAAGTAAACTCTGCACATCCCCATAGTGTAATGGATGTGGAGACTGTCAGGAAACAAAGCTACTCAAACCTAGTGATGTTTAGAGTTGTGTACAAGTCAAACACATGCTGGGACAGTCTGCAGGTGGTGCAAAGGATCAAAACACTCTGATGGGACAGTTTGGATACAGAGGCAAAGGGGTTTATGACAAGGGAAGGCAGGTAGACACAAAATAGTCCTGTAAAGTATGCTAAAAATCACTGCTTAGGCATATATATCTTCATTTTTTTAATCAGCAACTGCAAGTTATTTAAGAGCATGAATAAAGAATGCAACAAAATACTGTAATGAGAACATATTTTGTACAAATATTAACTGTTCTCTCTGTACCAACCTTTTGGAAATACAGTGTATCGAGTGGTGTGACATTTATGAAAATAAAGAGAATCAAACTGTTGAAAATGGTGCCTTTTTTTCCATTTATTTTGACCAAGTAACAAAAACCTAGATAAGGTAGCATTGCCTACAGTTCAATACATTCATTATAAGTTACAGGATAAAGGTGCATTTCTCTGAGTCTGTTAACATTCTCTTGTTTCAGACACACCTGATAAGCTGCAGACCCCAAGGATTCCAGGGTCAGCTCTAAATCTACCATGATCAGACTGTGGAAGTGACTAAAAGAAATTCATGCATTTGCAAAAATTGGGAATTATTATAAGGACTGTGACTCCATTGGGCAATGTGCTGCCCATCAGGGCAGTCTACAGACATCACTTGACAAGGGGAAAGAGATAAGGTGGAGAGTTAATAAAATTATATATATATATATATATTTATAATCTACTTTTTTACTTACTTTGCTTTCTGTTTGGGTAAGAGTAAATTTCAGTAATTCAAACCCAAGGAAGACTATAAAGGAAATTTTGTGTTTGAACAGGAAACAAGCTTTCTAAAGTATTCCTGCAACTTCCACACAGAGAAGTCACTGATGCATTGTTTAATCTTAGTAATACCAAGGAATTTAAAATTCTTATATTAATGGATTAAAACAGGTAATCTTTGAAGCTCACCTTTAAAATTATGATGGCAGTAGAGGAAACACAGATATCCAATGCCAAATGTAACTGGGTAGCTGAAGAAGAGTAACTCCCTTTACAATCAGAATTATTTATAAATTGTTATTAAAAAAAAAAGGCTTGCCTGGCATCATTTCTCCACCTGTGAGCCTTAAAAACACAAAAAAATCCTACAGCTTAAGACAATCTGAAATAAATATTCAGTTATATATAAGTTTAAATATTCAGTTATATATAAGTTATGGCATAAGCAATCACTATTATAATCAAACAGGGCTATTCTAAAGGAGCTCTGGGGGGTGTGTGGGGAGTATGTGTCTGGTTTTCAAATTTATAACCACTATAAAAGCTTATATTATCGAAGATACCACCATTTACATTAAAACTTCTCATCTACACCTGTTATTATTAAGGTAGTAACTTAAGCAAACAAAAACTTCCCCAGACTTGCTCTAGCTTGGCATTGCTCTGCTAGTCCTACAGGATAACAACTACATTTTGAAGAGCACTGACAAAACTTTGGTGTGGGAAAACACTCAACTAGTTTAGTCTTTTCCACAAATAAACCTTTTAAGAAAGGAAGAAAGGTAGCGTTGGAATCAACGTAAAGAATAGACTTTAATGGAATAATTGAAAACTTGCAAGTTTGTTTTCAACAATCTCAGGAAAAAGAAAGAATGGAAAGCTGAAGTCCTTGCTGCTTAAGAGTTACATGTGGTTTTATAAGCAAGAGAACCTACTGAAGGCAGCTCTCTTAAGTTCAGTTTAACAAATGTGTGAAAACTTAATCATCTGTATCTGGTTCAATGGCATAATAATTCAACAACCTTTCCTTCAGAAAGACATTCCCCCAGATTCCTTAAAATTAAAAAATCAAAAACCTCTGCTTAAAAACTTAATTCTGAGAAACACACAAAGACAGGAAATAATTAACAAGTTTGCAAGTTACAAACTGTATCAAATTCTTCATCAAGGATAAAGAAACCTGAATGTTCCAGCCCTTGTGCAACTTGGGAACTGTCTTTGCCTTCCTTTCCAAAGCTGATGGAGACATCAATATACACATGTGCTTTAGGCATTTTAAGGCTTATTGAATGTTCATGTTAGTATCACAGAACTGACAAGATCTACAATTTAGCAGCAAATTCCACTGAAAATTTATAAAGGCAAAACATGGCCAAATCACTATTTTCAGTTGTATACTGGACATGCAGGAAGTTTAACTTGCATTTTTTCTATTATTTTAAATTACTCTTACAGCACATTAAAGAGAGCTGATAAAAATTCTCCTTTTTATACTATAGTAAATCGAAATAAGCAACTCCACTGTGTAACTGCAAATATAATACTCTGTATAACAGTTTATATAGTAATTTAATAATTGGACTACAGTGATCATCATTAAAAAAATTTAAATCCTTCTATTTTGCAGTAGGTGTCAGTGTATGCTTTTTTCATAAATCATACATGCAAGTGCTTGAGAAAGTTCTTTTAATTCTGACCTGGCTTAGAAGTAACTTAGTAGACTGGCAATAAGCAAACTGATTTCTATGTGTCCTAGGAATGCCATGCTTTAATATAATCCTCATTTTCTAGTTTTGGAATGTTTGTGTTTTTTTCACTCTATCAGAAACGTGCCTACAAAGAACGAGCATGGAAACAGAGCTACTGCAAAACTCTTTGGAGCCATATTAGCAGGAGACAGCTCCAAAAATCTTTTATGCATTTGTACTGCCTATATGTGTAGGTACTATTATACTTGCCCACTTATGAATAACAGGAATAAACAACACAAGTGATCCAATGATTGAAACCAGAAGAAAAGCCCATAAGAACATTCGATCAAGCACCTGAGCAATGTATTTCCAGTCTTCAACAACCTAAGAAATAAAAGAGCACAAGAGATGGTCAGTATGTGCAAGAAAGGTGAAAATACAGTACCACACCCTGCAATTCTTAATCATTTCAAAGTACACTTTTTTCAGCCTTGTTCATTAGATAATCCTGTTTAACAACATTTTATAATTACACTTGGAGGTAGAAGAGGAGCAAACTGCCCCCTGTGAAGACTGGTAAGCTGTGTAGACCAATATTAGATTTTAATGCAGAAACCAACCCTGGCAAGCACTGAAAATCCTCATCTATAGAGAGATGAAACTGGTATGCCATTTTCTAACACACTGCAGCATTCATGCCACACGACAGCATAAAGTGGAAATCCCAGGCAGGAGCTAGAAACAAAAGTTATTAAGAAAAAAAAAAAAAAGACAACAACCCCTCCCATCACCTAAACAAAAAACACTAAACCTCCCAAACTAAAAAATAAAATAAATAAAATTACGGTACTGAGCAGGTGTTGTGTTACAAACAAGATCTGAAAGCTGTGAAGTTACTGCTGCACAGAACTGCATGCTGGGGACAACACTCACTGTACTTCCAAGACTACCTTCCTTTTTATAGGATTGTTCATACCTATACACAGTTTTGCAAGTATAGCAGATATAACTGTGCAAGCAAATGAAAGCCCTGCCAAACAACTGTCTTGGAGTTGAACTGGAGCTCTCCACATTTCCCAAGCCTCATGCTTCCCAAGATGTAAGGCTACAACAGCACTAGCTGGGTAGTGTTTATTAACAACTTTTGCAATTAAAGCTTGCAAACTCTCTGGAGCCCAAGCAATAAAACACAGGTGAATCCCCACTCATCTGTATGTTAATTTCTGAGGTTCAGAGTCACAACAACATCACATCTGAAAAACAAAATACTTATCACTTCTCTTGTCACTCACAGTCAAATACAGTAACTTCACAGGAGAAAGAAAAGCAACCCATAATATACAAGAAATTATGTATTTAATAGCAAATTATTTCTGTTGTTCATACAATGCAGAGCTGTTAGATGCTGCTTGAACAGTACAGCAGACACATTTATTAAGAATCTAGGCCGGATCCCTTGTGACAATGTCAGAATCAAGTCCTGAGAGGGCACACGAGAGGAGTTTGCTTACTCCTAGACTGTGAGAACACTCTTAGCAACCAGCAGCTTCTGAAGAGAGCCTTTTCCATATAAACTGAAATAATCCCAGGCCGTGCCATCAGAAACAGGCAGCAGTATCATGAGACCACACACAGACTTCTATATTTCTAAACTAGCCTGCAGATTACATTTAGGTCTCTGGTGTACCAACGGTGCCAGTTTAAAAAGCATGTAAAGAAAACAGATTCAGAGTGCTCTTACCCAAGTGGTGTAAGCATCCATTTAGGGTAGTTCAGAGTGCAAATGCACAGACTGAAAAAAAGCCTCTGACGTCTTTTAATATAACTTAGAGACAAATAATAATAAGGGCAGAAGAGAACTCTTAGGAAGTCATCTAGTCCATGTCTGACCTCGGCACAAACTGACCTACATAGGGCCACAGCTTGTATTTAAACTAATATAAGTTAGAGCATTGAAATTGTTTTTATTTGGAATTGAAAGGTGAAAAACACGGCTTGGTCATATTTATTCTGAAAATACAAGGCGAATATAAGTAAAATATAAGGCATTGTTCAGACAGCCTTCGGGTACAACGTTCAAGGGAAAAATATCTCCTCATCTCAGCAGCTCTGTAGAGAACAGTTAGAGCACACAAGTGCCTCACAATGTGTAACCAACAACATGAACCTAACTGCTAGAAGAAAGCAAAAGACTTTTAAAGAACCCAAGGACTGTGCTGTATCAGCCCAATATCCATAAGAATTCTCAGCATTGTACCATACTTGCACTTCTTCCCAGCGGAAACAATTACACAGCTTTCAGTGGAGCACAAAACCTGGAAATCCCTAGCACATCTTTAACAGGACACTGCACAGCAAACCATTCCTTGGTTTTCTAATTTCCACTTGCACGGGATCAGTGCGACAGGACCAATCCACCCACCTCACGAACTTCATTCTCCTTCATGACGTGCCTCGTGATGTAGCGGATGGAATCCAGAGCCGCTTCCAAGGTGTTCCTTGAGGATTCCGAGCCGTTCGTGTTTCCTGTTTCCTCCTTCTGGGCAAAGTATCTGTCCACGTGACTCCTCATGCAGAGCAGCTTGGGAAGTTTGTGAAGAAATATCTTGCGAACCCAAGGTGCCATGGCGTTGTGTGTGGACGAGGAGCGGTGGTGGATGTTGATGGCAAAGACAGTTATTACAATGGACAAGGTCACAAATATCATAGTGAACACCAAGTACTCTCCGATAAGTGGGATAACTTTGGAGGATGAGGGAATAATTTCTTCAATAACAAGAAGAAAAACAGTCAAAGAGACCAGTACTGAAGTGCAAAGTGAAATTTTTTCGCCTTCGTTTGAAGGCAGATAGAAGACAAGGACGGTGAGAAACGAAAGTCCAATACAAGGGATGATGAGAAACAACGTGTAAAAAAGGGGCAAACGCCTAATTATAAATGAATATGTAACAAAAGGATACCAGCAGCAGCCATCAGTCCTGTTTCCCTTGCTCCCCGTCGCAGTCACTATTTCCCATTCTCCATTATCAAAAAAATCTCTTTTGTCAACATCATAATCTTCAAGAATTAGATCAACCTGTGAGCCATCATAAGTCCAGGACCCAAATTTCATTGAGCAGTTTTGGAGGTCAAAGGGGAAGAAGGTTACATCAATAGTACAGGAACTTTTATAGTTTGCTGGTGGAGTCCAAGCAATGGTGCCATCATATTTAACCACGGTTTTTGTAGATGTTCCCTCAAAACGTCCATCTGCACTGAAAGAAGAGAGTAACTGCAATTACAATGGGGTCTGGGGTGCATTTAATTAGCAAAATATGCTTTGTTATTGGCATTTCAGCTCTTTATCCCTTATCCCCCTTGAAAGCCAAAATTTGGTACTGTCTTCATAGTCTTTTTTTTTTTTTTTTTGTTAGGTCTGAATCCCACAAAGGTAAACAGCTTTGGAAGAGTGAAGAGTATTTTTAAGTCATTAAAAAGTCTGTGCAACTTTCTTGCACAGACTTTCTGACTTATGAAAGGACTGTGAAAACCCTGACCTTCAACAGCATGACCCAACTGTGGTGTTTCTATTAGTAATGCAGCATAAGTACTTTTCAATTTGACCTAATCATAATTATCAAGGAAAAAAAAGTCATGAAGCAGGTAAAAGATTACTTGTTTGCCACCTCCAAACTGGAATTTACAATCACTGCAACAGCCTTTTATCCTGATTCAACAGGTCAGGAAATGTGAAGCATTGTACATGAACCTGAGTTGAGCAGAAAGGTCAATTCAAAAGTTATTGCTTCTGATATTTGGGGATTTTCAAAAGAAAAAAAAACCAAACAACATAAACCCAACCCAATCCCCCCCTTAAAGCTGAGGGTACTTAATTTCAATTCCATGCTAAATATGACTTATAACAGTATAAATTAGCTGCTTCCCTCCCATCACCCTACACTGTTTGTACCCAGCACTGTGCAAGACATTGCTTTCTAATAGGGAGTTTACATGAAGAAATGGAAATAAACTTTATTTAAAGAGATGAGAAATGCCATACAGAAGAAAAGCAAAACCTCTGGCATTTAAAAGGGCAACAAAGTCCCTCTGCATTCAGAGGCAAATTCTTCCAGCAGCCTTAGCTCTACTAAATGTCCACACGTGTCCGTCCAATGAGCCTCCCAGCACCAGCTGGGACAGCAAAGTCAGAAAAGAAATGGGTTTTCTGTGAAAAGACTCAAATCTTACTTGTCATACAGCACAATATCTGGAATCCAAATGGAATCTGATGGGACACGGATAGATGTTATTCCAGCATAGTCTTCAGGATTCCACCTTAATTTCACATCTATCCATTCCTGTGGATATGTGAGATGTAAAAATCATTACTGTGGGGAAGCAGATTCAAGCAGGGCAACACCAGATGAAAACAGATAATAAGGCAATTCAGAACAGTGAGACTGGCTTCTAAAATCTGTATAAACCAATTCATTTGCTGAACAGCCATGTAGTTACCTCACTCAGTATTTGTTTTCTGCTGTAAGAGCCACTTGACGTTATTTCTGTACAGAACTTAAGATATGAAGTTCCTTTTTCAGAGTATGTATGCATAAGTAAGGGCTGCTATAACATAATTTAATTGTATAAATTAAGTTTGAAAAAAGCTTGTTCTGAATCAACACCAAACACTGGAAGCTAATCAGAAGCAATTTAGACATTTTCATGACAGAAAAAAAAAATCCATCATGATGCAACTCTTAAAAGGCAGTTTTGATTTCTACCAGCAACACTAAAAATAGCACCATTAAAAGCACAGCAGTGTTTTGGTAATTTTACACTTGAACTACAAGCTCAAGAGGAAGAATTTAAGTTTCTAAGAATTCGCCATCAAACAGAATTTTAAACATATATACAGGTCAGTTCTTATTTCATTTAAAGTGGTTCAACACATTTGCTAGGTAGTCGCAAAGTTTCCCTGAAAATAAAAACTTGGCCTGAAATTACAGTTAATGGAAAAGAAGGGAATCAACAGGGAAAAAAACAAAACAAAGCAAAAAAATGCAACCAACCAAACAAAAACAGTGAGTATAACTGGGGTCTGCAAACATTCTGCTGAGTTAAATCAAGAATGACTCGTGAGCAGCATTTCCCAAGTTAATTCTGCCAATTAAGTTCAGCCCTGGACCCTGATTATTATAAAACTTGAGGCTTTTTTCTGCCCAAACCCAAATGTTCCTAAGAGGGAAAAGTATTTCCTTATAGCAAGCACATACGACTTTGAAACTGAAACTCTTCAGTGATGTTTATCCCACAATCTCAAATATCCCAGAAGAAAAAGAACTCAAAGCTATTTTACAGAACACTACAGCAACCCATGCTTTTCTTAATAAAGCTTTTGAATGAAAACTTTTCAGCAACTAAGTTTTTTTAAATATACAAGTAATTTAGAAAAGTTTCTTCCAGATTTTCGTTTGCAGTTACGAAGCTTCAGGATTTTTCATCAATATTTTACACATACCTGTTTCAACCACACATTTGTTGTCATCAATTGATTTTTCTCATCCTATAAAGAAAAGCATATGTTACAAAAAATAACCAGCATACAACATTCATGGTAAATAGCTGCTTTAGTTCATAGAGGTCTGTAATTTAGAGTACAAAATATACTTCTGAAAGCATTCCAGTCCCTAAGTATGTTTATATGAGGACATCACACATGCATCCACAGTGCATTTTTTCATTACACTGACAATAATTTCAGAAGATTAATCTACTGTGTTTAAGCTAAAATACGCACAATTATTTCACATGACATTATGTTCCAGAATTTTAAAGTCAGTGAAAAAAACCACTCCAACTTATTAGCTGTACATACCACATCCACTAGCTGAGAGATTGCAAGGCCAAACTTGATTTTTATTGTGTCATTCAAGCGCTCCACTGGACGAACCCACCTCTGGTAGTCTTCAAATAAGTGCTTGAACAAACGATCTTCACTTTTAGCAATGAAAGAAGGTTCAGACACACCTATGAAAAAAAGGAATTTATTACCACTGATTTCATGTTTTATACGTTATTTCTTCTAATGTTTGGCCAGATCTATCATGTATAAACTTTGCTGCTCCTGCCTGTAGAGCACTTTCACCCCCCACACTGTTTTGCATCTTAAATGCTTATGCAATTCTATTTCCCAGCCCATCCTCTACCTATCCTGATGTTATACTGACTGGAAAGCACCTTTCTAGTTCTTTTTGTAGCTCTCAAGGAGTCAATTCAATGCCTGGAGACAGGCAGAGGACTGGAACAGCTAAAAGTCTTTGTATAGCTAACAAAAAAAGTAGAAACTAAATGTATTCTTTTGTCTCCTGAGAGAATGGAATACATGGCAGAGCTTTTTTTGGGAAAAAGAAGTACTGTAGATGTAGAAGCTGCATAGAGAGAGCAGCCTGGACTTTAAAGGAGAGATGTAAGTTGTCCTCAAGCACCTCATTGAGTAACTGCTGTCCTTTTATCTTTGGGAATCTGTGAAAAATCTGGTTTTTACCTACATGTTCTCATGGAACTGCATCAGAAGAAACCCTGCTACACACAAAAAAAAAGGGCAAAGTCTAAGGTTTATCCACTGTGAGAACCCACATAAATGTTATATGCCCTAAAAAACAAGAGAAGGAGAAACCTGGGGAAGATACAGAGATAGGGGAGGGAAAAAAGGCAAGATCAGTGTCTAACTGAGTAACTCAGTAAGAACAGCCTTCAAATGTGGTGTGAAACACCCGAGGATGCCTCAAGAATCAGCACAAACTACACACATCACCTTGAATGGAAGGGTTCTCTAGTTCCCAGACAAAGGTCAGAACAATCACCAGAAAACACAAACATATGCTCTAGACAGAGATTTTTACTACTCACTGATGAGATCTGAACTGACTGAAACTACTGCCAAAAAGACCTAACAATTAATATTGTCACTTTAAGGGACAGAGCAAACGAAAGAAAGAAGTTTACCACCATCTCTTTTTAAAGCAGACTTAAAATATTATGCCATTACATAAAGGTATGGCATGACCTCTCTAGAAATCACGTGCTCACTAACAGCAGCCATCTAAAAAAAGATATATCAGAAACAGAAAAGCACCAGAAAATGTCATAAACAGATTAAAACTGGAGACAGTCATCCATACAAGGAGAGATTTAAAAGCTTAACATTATTTTGTTTGGAGAGGAGGTAAATTTAGTCAACATAACAGAAGTAGAGCAAGTAGTGACCAATATATGCAGAAAAAACATTGGTTGCATTTAATCTTTCTCAAAAAAGAAGGTAAAGGAAATAAAGCACCAATTAAAGCAGAAACAATGTCCAGTTGAAGTTCATCACCATCAACATTCAGTAAATCAGAGGTTATTAGACAGTGAGGAGGACCGGAATTCTGGAATTACCTGGGATTACTAAAGTGTGTATCAGGCAGTGTCACACCTGCAGAGGGTGTCAGTTCTCATTCCAACACAACCAGCAAAAGCTGCCTCAGAGTTGGCCCAACAGTGACTTGCACTTATTGCAGAGGTTTGGCTACCACTGCTAAAGCCATTAATTTGGGCTGGCCTAACCTAGCTGTGTGTGACTGCAGCCACTGCAGCCCAGACAACCAAGGCAGGCAACCTAAGTTTTTAAGTTCCTTCCCGCTCATCAAACTGTGACAACAGCAGCTCTGCTGTGCTGCAAAAGGCTTTAATCTAAAGATCCTTTGGACAAAACACCCAAAGCTCTGCAGGGCCCAACAAGGCAATTCCCTGCCTTCTGCACTGGTGCTTTGGGGCAGTCCAGTACTAGGATTTTAGTGTTTTAACTGAAACTAGTTAACTAGTTTTTTAAATACTAGTATTTAAATACTAACTGGATTTTCTCTGAAATGTCACAGGAGGAGCAACAGCAGAATGCAACTTAAGGAACAGGATCAGCAAAGGGGGAGCAGCAGGACTCCTTTTCCCCCCAGATCTTCCCACACACCAACATGCTGCTGAGTGGTTCTCGCTGTGGGCCCAATCAACATCTGGGTTTTAAGGCAGTTCACCCTTCTGCTTCAAAACACAAACCTCATTTCACCTGTTCACAAACCCACTGTTCTTGGAGAGGGATTATTTGTACTTGCTCTGCAATTGGACACCTTTCCATGTCCAGGCTGCTGACACGTGGGATGTGTGATAGCAGGGAGCTGAGGGCAGCCTGTGCTGTACCACTGAACACACCTCAGGGGGGCACAGGAAAACTCACAGCACGTAAGAATTGCTGCCAAAAATGATGCAGCAACACAAGGTTGCACACGTACAGGCTGCCTTCACAGCTATTAGGTTAAAATATATTTATTTTAATTGGCTCAGTATATCCTCATTAGCCAAGGAATTTTCCCCATTTGTAAGTATGCACGGATTTGCCAAGTCCTACATGCTACAGGCATCCAAAAGAACGCTTCCTGAAGACACAATTTGATTTCTCTATCTCCATATCCCTATTTCCTGAATTATGGATGGGTTTGTGTATATTTCAGCCCAATGTTTCATAAATACTTAATGTTTGTATTAGCATTAATTACATTTCCCTTCTACAGTTACAACTCTCAACTGAATTTTTTGTACCATTTGAGGCTGACTGTGCAGCTGGATATTCTCTCTGCATTAATTGACCTTGAAGCAATGCAGAGGCAAAGTTGCACTTTCACCATTTCTGTGTTCTGTAAGATGACCTCCTGTGCAGCAACACAGCATTTCAGGGGATGTGCTGTTTCCGGATTCAGCTTCTCTTAAAACACAGCAACTTCTCTGCTCTGCTAAATGGGGACACGTTATTTTACTGCTTTTATATTCTTACAGATCTTTGTCCAAATGTTTTACACTCAGACCTACAGTACACTCACTGATCTATTACAGTGACCATTATTTATTAACAATATAGTTTGACTGATTTTTTTTCTGTTTTTTCTTATCACAGAAATATCCCCGCTTTTCAGTATTTCTAGTTTATTCTGTTTATGAAGAAGCTGGGGCATACTGGTCTATAAAAGACTGCTAATACAAAGGAGAGCTCCATGGGGAGGCTGGAAATGGTAACAGTATATTAAGAATTAGCAAAAGTAAAGTAAGTAACCACCCCTACCTTGCATATTTTATTTAACAGGACCATTCAACTAATTTGTTGCACAGACTGCACGGGTTTCATTCTCTTTTCCACTGTGGACATGCTTTTAAGATTACAACAAAGGGTGTGATTCTCAGTTACCCCCCGTATCAATAACAAAATTGTGAAGAACTGGTGACAAGCAGAAAAAATGTACAGAAGAGAACAGGTAAAACACAGTCAGAGGTTTAAGGCAGCAGAATAACTGTGAAAACCAGAAAGAGGTTAAAACCTATGACTAGCAAGATTAGCAAACGAACAACCCGGAGGACAATCTCATCCTAAATCAGATGGCAAGAGATTATGGAAGCATCACCCCTGCCACAAGCTCCCTGTACTAAAATAAACTTGGGAGATTTGTAGCCTTTGAAGGGCAATTCTAAGCTTGCCTGTATTTGTGTGGCTTCATTTTTGCTGGGGCGGGGTAACCTCTGCAGCCTCGGTCAAAGGGAGCTCTGCACTGTGCAGTGAGAAACCTCACTGACAACATTTACTTGATTACTTGCACCTTAAACCCTTCTCACACCCTCTCTGTGGGATATTCCATGTCAAAAAAAACCCCCACCCAAACAACCCCTAAATCACATAGGATGCTGGATGGCCTAAATTTGGATTCTGCACAAAGGAAACAAATGTTTATGCACAAAGCAGACTGATGATTCAAATTTTTTTTAAACCCTGAAATAGCTGGAGAACACTTCTGACAAAATGGTTAAGTAAAAATTCTAATTAAACACTTGATGTTAGACAAAATTGTATTTAAAAAATCAGTTTCACCATTTCCTCCCTAAGCACTTCACAAACTTCTTTTATTAAAGTACTTTGGAAGAACTACTTAGAAAATAGGAGGAAGCATTACATGGGTCACAGATGCATGAATAGCACGACAAAACATGTCCATGTCTATTCATCTTGTTCACATTCTCAAGTCAAAATTTCACTTGTGCTGCAGATGGCAGACTTTTTAAATGCCACAGATAAATCACAAAAGTGGTCTTCTTTTGTAAAATCCATCTTTTTAAATCGTTTCTTCCTGTACCATTATGGGATTAAATTTCTTAGCATGTTAATATGATTTGGCAGCACTATTCTTTTTACAGGAACTACCAGTTAAACAGTCAGTGTTGCAGCTTTACCTCAGATGTATTTTCATAAATATTTGTTTGTTTTTAAATGAGAGAACACCACGGTCCATGTTTCTCCAAAGAATAAGCTTTCTTTGAACTCTGCATTCCTCTGCACTTCCTTAGATAATGTGTCTAAGAACCACATTGGGATTGCAGGTACAATGCTGGTCCTTACACATTAAACAGCGCAGTTCAAAGCATTTGCTAATTGATATAGCTGAGTGTTAATGATTTCAGGTTTCCTTTGCATCACTACCTGGTGCATTTTCAAAGGAAGTCCATGGGAAAAAGGAAAGGGTCACTTTTTAGAAGCCTTATGTTAAGATGTGGATTCAGAAGTAATATATAATGCACATTTATAACCATACACCATTACAATGAAAAAGAACACTGCTAAGGACAATAAACACTGCAAAATATCCATACTTTGTAGTTAACATTATATTGTTTAACTCTGTGTCATCATAACATACAGACTATTATCCACAAATCTAACTACTACAAACTACAACTAATAATTTTCTTACAAGCCTGGAAGGTGAATGAATATATACAGTACACCTGCCTTCAGTACACTCGTATTTATTGAGATGATTTCCCACCATTACTTCATTAAGTAGAAAATACATGTAATATAGTAAATGAAGCATAAAATGGAAGTTTTATTTCTGTACTGACTCCCCCCTCCCTTTTCAAAGGACCATGACTCACACTTTCTGCATGGTCTTCAATTTTTTGGCCTACTTTTCCTCCCGTGCTTTAGCAATTGCCAAGAACCCAATCACAGACAGTCAAGCGTTTAATTAACAGCAAGCATTTAGAGAGATCAAAATCATCTTTTCTGGGATGTCTGTAAGTCAAAGCAGCATTACTAACTCCATCCAATTTACTGAGAAAGGGTCAGAAAAGCCAGCTATTACATTCTGAACTCCTCAGAACTATTTTTTCTCTCCCCTGTTTAAAAAACTACATCTACAAGCACAGTAAAGGTACATATATATACCCATATACAGGGCTTTCAAGCTATTGGGAGGATTTCTACCTTCCCTCTTACCTCACACATCAACCTCTGCCCAACCAATAGCAAAATAAAATGACACATATTGGACATGAAACTATGAGAAATTTTGAACTGTAACACTGCTCAGTACTTACCAACATGCCCAGAGGTACAAGAGTTGCCCACAGAAAGCAGGGGAAGGTGTTTCTTACACCCAACTCAAATTTAAAAATTAAAGTTCTGAGTTCATAATTGTAAAGCAGAATTAAACTATCTCCTAGTTGCTTAACATCAAGGTATAATTATGGCCCATGGTTTTGAACACATTTACAAGTTTGATTAGTAACAGAATAATGTATTGCCATGTAGTTTGTAACTAACCAAGAAGTAGATACGAATTGGTGGTCACTCTTTAGATTAGGAGATAATTGGAGCACAAAGCACTCCTTTCTGAATAGCTGTGCTGTGGTTCCCGTGGAACACACAGCCCGTGACCTCTCTGGTGACACTGCTGCCAGCAGCACCTCCTGACTGACAGCCTCCTGCAGTCCAACGGGGGCTGTGCCCTGGCACAGCATCTCCTCCCGACTCTCCACTCAGCTGCCCCGGGCTCCTCCTCCCTGCCCCACAGCCGGGGCACAGCCAAAGGCTGCCTCAGGGGGAAAATCCCACCACTCTGAAATCGGGGGGACTTTTCCTGTAACGGATCCAGGGGTTTGTCATCTCTCTTTATACCGTTTTTAATCATTTCATCCTTTCCACTGATTGCTGATCTGTCATTAAGGACTGAAGATGGACTGTGAAGACTGCACTGAGAAATGCTGAGAACAAGCAGCAAACAGGGTCCATACAAGTGCAGAGCTCAGGGAGAAACAGGAAGAACAAGGATGTAGAATCTTATAAGCAGAACCATTTATACATATAAATTTAGAGGCTGTGCATCACGGAAGTGAACACAAATCCAGGATTTGTGTAAATAAGACACAGGCTGGGGCTCCTCACAAGTTGCCAGTGCAGCCACTGGCGTTTCCTTCTGCCACAGCAGCATTTTGCCCACCCAGCTCAATTCCAGTCCTGGACACACCGGAACACACAACCCTACAGCTCACTGAAATCAGAGACTCTGTTCAGAAATCAAGTACTCTGCTCAAAACTAGATACAGAGCAGAAGATTTCAGAACATGTAACATCACACAAACCCCAGGTTTTACCATTCTAAAAACTAGGAAACTGCAAGTACTTCCTTCCACAGTTCCCTCTACAAATCAACACAGACATTTCTCCGCAAATCAATGCTCATGTTTTTCTTCCTAAGAATCTCTAAAGAAAGCACAAAATATTTTAAGAGGAAAATCACAAGAAACCCATACAAGCAGGAAGGTTTGCAGCTCCCTTTAGGGCAGGGAGAAGGATCTGCTCTGTTAAAATGACTGGAAAACGTTTGGGTGCATGAACTCCTGAGGAAACACCACCGCAGGTCTGCAGCACAGCAGTGCTAGAGGTGCTTGGTAACCTCATTTTTTGGGCAGTTAAGTCTCACCTCTTAGTTTAAGATTCAGTGCAAGGAACAAAACTCATAATTTGAATTTTACTTTAAGTCAGCAAGTATTTTGCCTCAACAATTCAGAGTTATCCAAGACAAAATGTTAGTTCACGACTAATGAAAGAAAACACCAAATTAATTTACAAGCACTCTTACAGCAAATTTCGTGTTATTTTACAGCAAACAAATTGTGAAGACAAAATGTTATCCTTACTCTGTATGATCAGTTCTCAATGAAGTCAAAACTGCTGGTTTGTGCCAAAAGGCCAAATTGGGCTTAACCTGACAACTGTGGGTAATTACATGTAGTCATATAAATCACATAATGTAACAAAATGATTTTGCACAGCAATATCTTCTCTCATGATGAAAAACACTTTTCCAAATGCTGAGACAAAGAATAATCTTTCAGCAATAAGAGACTGAGTATTTGTCAGCTGAATTAAAACCAAGACATCAACACAATCAACTTTCCACAAACCATACTTACAACCACTTTTCCAATTTTGAGTTAATATTTAAAAAAAGGTCAAATTCATTTTTTCATTCATTTTCTTTCTGCCTGTAAATATGGCAGTTATGGTTTCAAGACATTCTGCAAAACTCTTAGCAATGTACCCATAAATCATATACAAGCAACGCTTTAAAATAACTGTTTCTAAATAAATCTTTGACGAGTGATTTTGCTCCTTTAATCTTTGTGTAATTTTATAAACACTCCAGATTCACACGCTGTTTTACATCCTTCAGCTTGGAAAGTTACACCCTGATTGAATTACGAGACTGACTCTTTCGAAGTCGAAGAAATAATGCACGACCAAACTAAAGAGAGTTCTGTTATAAATTCTTAAGAGGGTTGGTTTTATGTGCAGTCGCATCCATACGCGAAACTGCAATTACTAAAATATATTCTGAAAGTTCACCTCCGTACCAGCTGCAGGCACACAGACCTACAGCTGTACCAGTGAGCAGAGCAAAAAGGGAAAGCCGTGGCACTCGAAATCCTTAAAGTGTATCACAATACATACGCATTTAGAAAGCATAACCGCTGTGTAATGAAATGTGTGGCAATCGAGGCTGACGTGCACCTGAAAAGCCGTAGTTTGGCAAAGGCACCTTCCCCTCTGTGCCCGGGGCAGCCCCGGCGAGGCGGTCCGGCCGCGGTCTCTGCAGGTCCCGTTCCCTTTTTTGAAGCTCCCCCGGCGCTGCTCAGCCCCCGCCGGACCCGCTCCCCCTCGGCACCAGCCGCACCTCAGCCGAGTCCGGCCAAAACTTGGTGCCGTGGGAAGCGAAGCAGGTCCGTGGCGGCCCCGGCCCCGGCGGCGTCTCCCCCCACACGCAAATCCCGCCCGTTTCCCCTCACGAACCGCTCCCAGCCGGGCACAGCCGGGGGAGGCAGCGGCGCCCGAGCCCCCGGGCCGCGGTACCACCCCCTCCATCCCCGGCGGACCCGCACAGCGCCGGGAGGGCTCCGACCCCCGGCCGACCGTGCCCTGCCCTCCCACACCCTCCCGGCTCCTGCTGAGGCGCCTTTTCCCCCGCCGGCCCTCACCCCGCGGGGGCCGCCCCGCGCCGCCTTACCCGCCTGCGGGACTCCGGGCTGGGCGAGCAGGGGCGCGCAGAGACAGCTGAGCAGGAGCAGGAGCAGCAGGGTGGCGCGGCCGCAGCCCCGCAGCCCCGCTCCACGCCCGGCCATGGCTGGGGCACGGCCCCGCTGCCTCCGAGCCCCGCAGCCGGGAGCGGCCGGAGCCGGGCGGAGCTGGGCCCGCCCCGCGGGGGCCGTGAGGGGGCGCGAGGGGCGGGAACCAGCGCAGGGCGCGGGCGGCGGTCCCGGCCCCGCGGGGACTCGAGTGTCCCGCACCTGCACCCCCCCACACCTGAACCCCCACACACCTGAACCCCCCCACACACCTGCACCCCCCCACACCTGAACCCCCACACACCTCCACACACCCGCACTCCGCCCGCCGCGGCCCCCCGGGCTGCCCGAGCCGCTCCGGGAGCTCCCGGCAGGTACCGCCGCTCCCTCAGGCTCGTCCCCGCCGCGCCCGTAGAACAACTCCGGGCTGACCACCCCGCGCAGCATCTGCTGCTTCCACACCGCACTCGTGGGAGGGTGTAAGTTTCAGTGACTTCTAACGAAAAAGAAAGAAAATTAAACTAACTTTTAATTTCCGTTTCGTATGAAACAGTAGGTTTTTGTGGTGTTTTGTTTTTGGTTTTGGTTTTTTTTTTTATTTTTATTTTTTAAAGTTTCTAGAAGAATAGGGTTTTTAGAAGTTTCTAAATCAGAATATTTTGGAACTTTTAACCAAAAATAGGAAAACTGATGCAAGCTACAAAGACCCAGGATATTTCCATTTATATATATATATTATAGATATAGATACACATAATATGTATAATAACATATAACGTGTATAATATATATAACACATATATATATATAACATATATAACAGATATTATATATAACATATATATAACATATATAATAAATACTCTGTACAAAACACCCACCTTTTTTTTCTGCACCAGATCAATAAAATCTGCTACAAAAGACAACTTTCAGTGCACGAACTATGAAACTCAGTTAATGATTCTTCCTAAATCGTCCTAATGGAAATGAACGGTGTACACATTGCCACAGAAAATAGAAGCAACTGGCACTTTGTTTACATCTGAGATATTAATATTTTACAGAGAGAAAAGATTTGGAAATAAGGGCTAAGTGGTTTAAGTGTTAATCAGCTGCAAGATGAAAAGTGCTAGATACCATATTCCTCAGGAAAATGGTCCTTATTTAATAAGGTCCTTATTTAATTCAAATAATTGTAGCAACTTCATAGCTTCCTAAAACGGGCATTACCCAAAGTAGCAATTTCATTAAGTGTGTTGTCAGTTGTCAAAATTCTTTTCCAGAAAAACAGTGCATCTCTCTGTATAGACTGTGAATCTTCTCAATGACTGAAACAGAGTACTGGAGCATTTTAATCCCTTAGTTTTTAAACTTGTGTTTTTTTCTGTGTGATCTTACCCTGCAGCCATATTTGGGTCGTGCATGTCTGTGCAAGACACAGTGCAGTCTGTGCAAGCACCCAGAAAAAGGCTGCTTACCCAGTAGTTTCTTCCAGCACACTCCTATTGATTTGAATGCTCTGCAGTAAATATGGTCATTTTATATAGCGAGAATCCATTTGTGTACTGCACAATCAAAAGATATATGTGTGAAAGGATGCAGCATGACTCCTATTTTGAAATGCTCAGTGTGTATGCAGTGGTCAACCCAAGATTTTAGAGTAAATAAAAAATATATTTTAGCCCAAAACAAGGCACAAAAGAACGCTGTTTTATTTCTTTTGTGACACACCAGAGTTCTGGTGTTTCCTGAGTGCTCCAAAAATTACTTGGCAATATTTGTACTGAAATTGCAACTCTGTAGTTTTGGATGACAACTGGTTCAATTCACCACTGCACTGCACCTGGTGTTCCTAACATAAGGTTATCATGTAAAATCTGTATTTCTGTTAGCAGAGTGTGTGTGCCTTGCAGTAACTGCATTTCAGAGCCTTCAGGTCTCGTTAACGGTGTTGAAATAGCTGCCACTGGAACGTGCAGGACATAGCAAACTGGTTTTATTACATAACTGTGGATTTGTGTGCAGCTGGGTCCCAACCAGGCAAAACAGATGCTGTAAGATATAAAAGGATTAAAGTGTCTGGGTTACATGCCCAACCTTTTGCTAAATATTTCATGTAGCGTCATCTGGCACATGTTAATTATGTTGTATTATTACTGTTTTAGAAAACAGTAGTTATAAATAAGCAGCTGTTTCTTCCTGCTGCTTTGAGCTTGGAGTAAAATGTTAACACCAGCGTGTTAAGTTTAGTATTTGTCATTAGGTGAAAGCCTAAACAATTACATGAGTAATGGTGTCTTTGGAAGGGCCCTTGTCTGCAGGAGGTGACATCTGAAGGTCCCCACTAAAGTGTGCTCTCAGAATCTGCAATAAATTGGCTGATGGCAGCTTTTACTGTGCACTGAAGAGTAGTTTAACTGGAAAGCCAAATGCCAAATTAAACACAGATAAAAATAGCAAGCTGCTCAGTCCTCTATTTAAAATCAGAAATATTCTAAAAACTTTGTGAAGCTGAATTTTCTCCAGATTAAAGCCAGTGAAGGATACCCTTAGATCGAGTTACTTCAGTGGTTTTTCATATTGCAATAGAAATAACCGCAATTACAACTTGAAAATGAGGACAGCTTTTGCTACAGAAGAACTGTAATGGAAAATATTCTTTAAAGAAAATGAAAGACATTTAAGTCCTAGAATCTCATCTAGTCTGAAGCTACACAGTTTCTCTCACGTATGAAGTACCCAAGTGCATCAACTTCTTGGACTTAATGCCTTGTATACACCTAGCTCTGTTATCTGTCACCACATACAGCTCTGTGGCCTCTAAAACCGTTCACCTGAACACCTTGCAGTCATTAATGTATTCATTCTCACAACGCAGTGGAGAGGGACTGTCCCTAATTTGAAGGTTACGAACAGAAGGAAATCCATAACAAACCAGAAGCAGCTGTCAAATTTAACATCAGAAGCTTTTCATCTCAATTCGGGTGCTTTCGTAACTAACAAGTAAAATATCTGGATGAAGAGGGAAGCACAGCTAAAGGAGGTCAGATAAGAAGCAGTCTTAGAAGTAAGTTTGACTTTATTTGAACAGAATACAGTCACCTAGAAAACAAGCTAACTCTCTTTTTACACTGACAGATGCAAGGACAGCACAGATATCACTGGAGAAGCGGTAGTTTCATTACCTCTTAAGCTACTTAGAATAACAAACCACGTTACAATTTCTTAGGACAATCTATTTGTGAATATTTGCATATTTGCCCTATCAAGTTCTATCATGCAGTCAAGTGAGATATAAGATACCCAGTTTTTAAGTTTACAAACATCATATTATGCAAACAGTTTCAAGTAAATACTTCTACCTAATTTGAAAAATCTGTCACCTTCCACAGCACCACACAAAGTTCTGGTGTTAAAGTAACATTTAAGCCACAGCAATAGCTAAATATTTGAAATATTTATGTAATACACTGTAAACTCTACGTAAACACTACGTACACCAAAAAAACATACAAAGAACAGGAAGATCTTTTGATTAGCAAAGATACCTCAAATGTATCGCCGGAATCATTTTCTGTTCTTACGACTTATCCCCAAACCACTCCCAGAAAAGGCACAGATGGTGGTGATTTTTTTTTTAGGTTTTTTTGTTTAAACACACAAAGCCAGAATCAACACAATAGGCCAATGCAGTCAAACACTGCTCTTATCTCTAGGAAGAACAGGTAAGGAACTTGCAAGGATGGCTCAGGAAGATTCTAGTCATGAAAGATCCCCAGCATCTGCTTATTGCCCTAGGCTCAAATGCAGAAAAAAATCAGAAATTAAATTTATTTCAGGAGAACTTTGCTGTACAACTTGGGCAGGAGTGCCAGCTGGAGTTACTTGCCTGTTCCAAGGCAGTACTGAGGCTCAGCTCACAATCAGCTATTAATGGCACTCAGGAGAGATGATTTTTTTTTAAATTAAACTGGTAATTACTGTTCAAAGATTATACTCATAAAGTACTTGACACTACTTTTACTTTGGGTAAACAAAACCTTTAAATAAATAGATCTTTTAAAACGCAGTGTAACTACACAACTTAATGCTTCAAGACATAATTAGAGTACAGATCAGAAAATTATTTAAGTCATTCCAACTTTTTTGTTATTACAGTATCTAAAAAGTTCTCCTTTACCAGCAAATTATGCAGTGTTTGGCAAAGAAATGCTATTGGTAGTTCTTTAAACAAAGATTATCCCCATTTAGTTAGAAAAAGATGCATTTACGAAAAAATATTTCAAGAAGTCTATATTCTAAGCTATCTAATAATACTTACACTACTCCACTGAACAAACTGCCTTGCATGGTCTATATACATCGAGGAACACAAGCTCAGATGCTCTCCTGGTTTCCCAAAAGACAGAAAGCATTGCTGGAGCCCATCACATTTTGTTGCAAGTCATCTTTGAGAAGTGAGACAAAAACTCCATTTTGGCATTGCTGTTTTAGAG